CCAGGGCTGGCGGCGGGGCTGCCGGAGGCGCCTGCAGAGGCGGGATCCCCATCCCAGGCTCGGAAGAAGAACCGAGGCCCGACAGAAACCTGTGCTTACTTGAATTCTTTTTTCCAAAACCGAACCAATCTTTGGTTTAAAACCTTCTTGAGGGCTACAGAGGAGGCGCCACTCCACAATCTCTCCTTGAGTTTTAGAATAAATCATGAGATTGGTTTGCGGGTAATGACTATCTTGTTAATATCCCAGAACACAGAAACAGCAACCTAAATCGATTTATATTTATTTTTGAGAAACTAAAGTTGCTTTAATGAAATCCAGCTTTTGGGGACAGTGTAACCGTCTAGCTCAGCCAGAAAAATTCAATTAGAAAGTTTTTTTCTCCATGCAAATGTAGAAGCAAGGCTGAAAGGGGCCCTCAGACCGGCCCCAGGGCCAGGCCTGGTGTCTGCTGCAGGATCAGCTCTTTCTATATTCCAAGATGGATTGCCCCTTACTAATGTAATAAAGATGTTCTGAGTTGATTGAAGATAATTGCATCATTAAAGCATTTTCTTTGAAGGTCTCTCTCCTGGTAGTTTATCTTTAGCAGGCCACTCACGGGAGTGTTTGAAGAAGAATTTTAATAAGGATGACAGCCAGCTGCCCCAGCCTGCCCCACATCCGCTCAGGACTCTGGGAAGGTGGTATCTGGGTGGATGAGTGGGTGCCCGAGCTGTGGCCTGGCTGGCAAAAGGGAAGGATGGGGTGTCAGGGCCAGGCATGGGTGCCAACCTTTGTTAGTCTTGCCCTTCCTTGTGTGTGTCTGAATTAGTGTCTGACCCTCCTGAAGAGAGCAAGGCTGGGCTGGTGCTGACCAAACCCCTATCTGGCATGGCACCACAGGGAAGTAGAGGAGCGAGGAAGGATGCAGGTGCGGCAGAGCCCCTGTGGGGGAAAGGGGGTTTGGCCATGAGAACACAGACCCAATGCTCAGCACAAACAGCCTTCAGCACACCAGTATCTCCAGCCCCTGGGGATGGGGGGCTGGCCAGAAGAGGCCCTGGGAGGTGGGGCATGGAGTGGTAGGGGTGAGAAGGGACCCCACTTCTGTCATATGATGGCTTTGGGCTCAAAAACCCATGTCCCACATGGAAAGGGAGCCTAGACACTGTCGCTGGCTACCAGGTAGGACAAAGAGCAGGGCCCAGGAGCAGGCCAGCCAGGTGTGTTGTGTGGACAGGGGGCTGGGCACACGTGGCCCTTCTGGAGGCATGTAGATGCTCAGGCTGGTGCCCATCCCCATCCCAGGTGTGCCCCTGAAATGATGGCAAACCCTCTCTTCTTTTCTAATATAGCATTCAGTACTATGAATTTCCCCCTAGGTACGGCTTTAGTGGCATCCCACAGTTTTGATATGTTTTCATTTTCACTCAATTCCATGAATTTCCCTTTTGATTTCCTCTTTGACCCTGAATTAGAGTGTATTTACTTGGGAATTTTCCAGGGATGTTTCTGTATTGATTTTTAGTTTACTTCCATGTCAGAGAACATACTTTGTCTCACATAAGTCCTTTTACATTTATTGAAACTTGTGTTATGGCCCCAAATATAGCCTGCATTAGTCAATGTTCTGTTGTCCTTGAAAAAAATGTGGATTCTTCTGGTGCTGGGGTGGGGGGTGGGGGGCAGTCAGTAAGTGTCACTTGGGTCAAGTTGGTTGATATGCACCTGTCACTGTATCATTGCTGATTTTCTGCCTACTTGTTCCATCAATTATTGAGAGAGGAGTATTGGAACCTTTAATACTAACTGTGAGTTTGTCTAGTTCTCTTTACGGTTCTATTTGTTTTTACTTCCTTTATTATTAGGTTCATAAATGTTTAAGAATGTTATGCCCTCTCGACAAACTGACTCCTTTATCAACATGAAGTAGTCTTTATTTCTTTAATTTCTTGGTTCTGAAGTCAACTTTGTCTGCTATTAGAATAGAGACTCCAGTTTCCTTTTGACCATGTTAGCATGGTTTCTCTTTTGAATGTTTTTACTTTAAACATAGTTGTATCTTTATCTTTAAAGAGTTCTTCATGCCCTGGCTAGTGTGGCTCAGTTGGTTGAGTGTCATCCCTTGCACCAAAAGGTCGCTAGTTCAATTCCCAGTCAAGGCACTTGCCCAGGTAATGGGTTCTTTCCTGGGTCGGAGTTCATGTGGGAGGCAACCACTGGATGGTTCTCTCTCACATCAATGTTTCTCTCTCTCTCCCTCTCCTCTCCTCTCTCTCTAAAAATTGAGTATTTAGACTACTTACATTTATATACTTATTGATATGGTTAGGTTTAAATCCGTGACCTTTATTTTATAAATTCCCATCTGTTCTCTGTTCAGTCTTTTCTCTCTTTTTTTTTTTTTATCAATTGAATATTTTTTATTATTCCAACGTATCTCCTTTGTTGACTTATTTAGCTTTAATTCTTCTATTATTATTTTAGTGGCTGCTTTAGGGAAGACAGTATACGTCTTCAGTTTTATCACAACATACCTGCCAGTGACATCATTCCACTTTGTATATAGTACACGAACTTCACAGTAGTATCTGGGGTCTCCATTTCTCCCTCCAGAGCCTGATGCTATAGTCAGAATTTTTACTTCTATATGGTATAAATCTCACACTGATTGATGTCATTTGTTCAAATGGTCAGTTATCGCCCTAACTGGTTTGGCTCAGTGGATAGAGCGTCGGCCTGCGGACTCAAGGGTCCCAGGTTCAATTCCGGTCACGGGCATGTACCTTGGTTGCGGGCACATCCCCAGTGGGGAGTGTGCAGGAGGCAGCTGATCGATGTTTCTCCCTCATTGATGTTTCTAACTCTCTATCCCTCTCCCTTCCTCTCTGTAAAAAATCAATAAAATATATTTTTTAAAAAATAAAAGATAAATGGTCAGTTATCTTTTAAAGAGATTTTTTTTTTAAAAAAGTCTTTTCTATTTCTCCATGTAGTTACCATTTTTGGTGCATTTGCATCACTCGGAGCAGAAACCATAGGGAGGCCAGCAAGGCAGTGCTAAGGGTCCATTCTGAGGGCAAGCCATGCAAAGCAGCCTTTGTACAGGCCTTGACTTGGGAGGAGGAAAGGGAAAGCTGGAACAAAGAGAGGTGTTGAGGGCAGAGGCCAGGGCCATGGTACTCAGAGGAGGGGCCACAAGACTCACAGGGAGGGCCCACAGTGCTCAAGGAAGAGAAGCCAGGGCTCTCAGAGCAACCAGGTGGCAGCCTGAGACGCTGTCAGTATCTCTCCATCAGCACCCTCCCAGGAGTTAAAATGACCCACCCAGAGTCTAGGGCCTGTGTAATTCTGGCCATTTTTGGAAAACGCAATGCACATGTATGGTCTCTCTGGGGAAGAGCCCTTTGTCAGCACCCTCTGGCTGGGGAGGGACTTGTGGGAGCAGCAGGGAAAGGTGGAGATGCAGGGCAGCAGGAGGCCCTATGTTGGAGGGTAGGCGTGGGGGGAAGGTGGGAACTGGGACAAGAGGGTGGGTCCTGGGCTGTGGGTCAGGGTTTTATTCTGGAAGCACGTGGGGGGACTGGGGTGCGCTGGGGCCCCTCTTGCCTCCAAGTCACCCGCAAGCCTACTATGAGGACTCTGGGAAGTTCATGGACATATGTCGTATGTCGATGGCACTTGGGCAGAGGGATGATGTGGCCA